GCTCAAAATATCATCCAGAAAAGTTCTAGAAATGTTTGTTCACATACACACACAAATTATCTAAAACTAATTTCATTAACTAAATTTTTTAAAAAAGTGATTTCCATTAATTCAAAAAAAATATTTTATTATTGCTTCAATGTTCTATCATGACTAGAAATTATGTTTTACTAAATTATGAAAAATATTCATGTAAGTATTGATGTAATAAATGTATATAAGAAATTGCTAAATTGAATTGAAACAGTTCTAAACATTATAATTGAATTTTAATAACAAAGGAGCAAAATATATCATACAAAAATATTATTATGATTTTGAGTTTTTTATACTACTTTTAGTAAATTAATCTTATAATAATCGATATTTTTTGTTATCTGAAAATATTTTAAATTTGTAATAATAGATATTAAATGCAATAGTTATCATAAAACAAATTTACTTATAATTAAAACGTATTTTGTCGTCCTTTGTTTTGAGTAACACTGTTTCAAAATACTACAAAAAAATCATAAATTATAAATGCAAAAATTTTAGAGCAATTAAAACGTTTTATTACTATGTATTATAATTCATTTTTTTATCTCTAGAATAAGCTGTCGCATAAATTCGGAAACATAAATTTTCTTCTTTATTGCGTTCAAGTTGATATAGCATATTTTTATTAAATTGAATATTATTTGAAGATATTCATTAGAAAAAGGATATGAAAATTATTCATATAAATGATAGAGAAATGAATTTTTAATATCCATTTAGTTAATTGACAATAGTCAGATGAATCAAGGCAATGGTCAGATGAATTTGTATTTTTAAAGCCTGAATTTTACATAAAAAAATTTACTTGTAAAAATATTCGTCTGATGTCTAATTTAAAAATGTCTAGATACTGTCACATCGCAATCAACTGTCAATTCAAAAACAAAAAAAAATATAAACTTCAAAATTTCAAAATTCAAAATTCAATGTGGCCGATGAACATAATTTGCTATTTATTAACCAAACTAAAATCGCCGAAGTAGGAACTTTTTGATCAATCATGTGAAACTATCCATATATATAGATATATGCAAAACCAATCATCAAAAATTAGGTAAAGATATTTTTAAAAAAATATAAGTAACATTTACCAGTTTTTTCAGACAGAATCTGTTATATATATCATATTTGGTTACAAACATCAAGAACTTGGCAATACCATATCTGATTTTAATATTTTTCATTTGAGATGGCATAAGATGTTTTCCTCATAAAGTGGTTCAAAATAGAATAAAATGCAATAATTTATAAATACTAGAATTAGAAAAAATTGTATCTGAATATATGAAGAGAAAAAAATTAAAAATAATATTTAGTGTTCAAATATACTAGTTCACAAAGCCAATAACATAAAAATGTGAGTGAAGACAAGCCGAAATACATTTTTAAATGTGATATGAGCACTTTTTTTAAATTTAGTATTTTTTTATCACATATTGTTCTAATATATAAATAACATATTTCCGAGTTATTGGTACTGCAAAATTATCCAAATTATTAATTAAAAAAATCCAAATACTTTCGACAAATATATTTGAATATCTCTCAAATACATATCATATCAAATGATATGTATATATAAAATAAGAAAATTGTTTCATAATCTATCATACCAGATACCCCTGTCTGAGATATGAAAAATAAAAAATAAAAAAAAACTTTCATTCGAAATTAGTAGTCTACATCTCTAAAGTGTTATTACAATTATCTTTCATTAACCACAGTTGGAACTCATCCTTGAAATTAAGAAAAAACACACAAAAATACCATAAATAAAGAAAATGATCATTTCCTGATTGCAACATAACCACCAAAGAATATGACGGAACAACGTGGAATAATTCATAAATTTCTCCAAACACTTATCGAGTTTTCCTGCGACAAATTGTCTTCTGGAGCACCTAGGAGAAAAAAATTGGACAGATTATTTTTTAATTCTCTTCCGGAATGCATAACGGACAAGTGATTCAGTTGCATATTGGCCAGGCTGGTTGTCAGGTTGGAAGCGCCTGTTGGGAATTGTACTGTTTGGAACATGGAATCAGACCTGATGGCCAGATTTATGCACCTAAAGGTAATAATAATAATGATTGAGTTAAAATGCATTAGGTTAGGTTGGGGTATAATGGTCCGAATTGACTTTTAGCAAGTATACTGCTAAAAACGAAAAAAACTAAGGAAGAAACATTTTGATAGCTGCGTCGCCCGATGCTCGTTATACATCTTTTGCCATCTACTTTAAAATCCTCAACTTTTTAATTTCCCGTAGGGTAAGTTATTGTAATGGGCCGAAAATCGAAATTGAAAATTTTTACATTTCTCGTGTGTGTATGTGCGTGTGTGTGTATGTATGGATACAATTTTTCGTCCACGTTTTGGGGCGCACGGATCAACCGATTTAAATGGTTCAAAAAACATTCGATTACTATTGATAGGGAGATGTGCTGATAAGTTTTTTGCAAAGGCAGATCCAGCAGTTAAGGAGATAAAGAGCAAAGAGTGCAGAAAATATAAATCGATTTTTTCGAAAATGTCGAAACATTCTAAGATTTTTGTAAGAAATCGTTTATTATAAATTTCGATGTTTTTTTTAAGATTTTCAGAATTTAGATTTTTTGAAAATGATGGAAAATTTCAATAAATTCAATTTTTTGGAACCTTATTTTTTTTGAAAATTTTGATTTTTTTTTTGAAAATTTCTGTAAAAACATTTTTTGCACACCGTCTACACAAGCAAAATGTTTTTTAAAATAATCTAATCGGATGATCCGTTCTCCAAAAAACTGCATAATAATTTTTACACACTTTGCGCTCTATACCTCCGAAATGGCTAGACGTGCCTCTTGCAAAAACGTCTTGCGATCGAGTACGAACCGAATGATTTTTTAATCATACAAATGGGTTATTCCATACTGTCGAGAATGTCGAGGACATTTGTTTGAACCATATACGTAAATTTTAAAATAAAAAATCTTGGTACGGAACCCAAAATAATTGACACAAAATGTGTACATATTATTAAAAACTCTATAAAATATCTGATAATTTGATGTTCATATGTCTAATGATTATTTTTACCGACAAATGGCATTTTTTTCACTTTTTTTGTTGAAACTCCATAACCGCTAGATCTGCCTTTCCAAAAATTTAAGCAGTTATTCGTTTATTCAATACAAATAAAATGTATTTTGAATTATTCAAATCGGACACTCCGTTCTCTGAAAAATTGAATTACAATATTGGGCACTTTTTGACCCGTATTTTTGAAACGGCTGGACCTGCCTTTGCCAAAAACTAATCAGCACGTCTCCTCATCAATATGAATCGAATGTGTGAATTATTCAAATTGGTTTATTCGTGTTCCCGAAATCGTCGACGAAAATTTGTATCCGCACACATACACGTTCATTTTTTCTAAGGTATGCCAAATGTTCAGAAACATCATAAAAAAATTTAAAAAAAAAATCATTTTCGATTTTTTGCGATTACTATAACTTGCCCTACGTGAAGTTAATAACTCGTATATCAATTTTTCAATAATACAATTTCCTCCTATCCAGGTTGCCCAGATGAATTCAATTCCTTCTTCAGTACCTCCGGTGCTGGAAAATGTGTACCAAGACTTGTCATGGTCGATTTGGAACCAACTGTTATTGATCAGATCCGCACTGGAACCTATCGCTCCCTATTTAATCCAGATACTTTGATATCTGGTAAAGAAGATGCTGCTAACAATTACGCCCGAGGATTTTACTCTATAGGTCCAGAAATGTTGGATTTAGTTTTGGACAGAATTCGCAAAGTCGGCGAAGAATGTAATTACGTGCAAGGATTCATAATGTTCAGATCCTTCGGCGGAGGTACTGGTTCAGGATTTGCTACCTTGTTACTGGATTCTTTATCCAGAGATTGGGGTAGAACGAGTAAGTTGGATTTTGCTATTTACCCAGCACCAAGAATGTCTCCAACTATTGTGGAACCATACAACTCTGTTTTTACCACTCACGGCACTTTGGAATTCATAGATGCTGATTTTGTGATCGATAACGAAGCTTTGTATGATATATGTGGAAGATTTTTAGATTGTCCTAAACCTACATACGTTAACCTGAATCGTTTGATTGCTCAACTTGTATCGGCCATCACGGCGTCTTTGCGATTTTCTGGCCAAGTAAATGTTGACTTAGTGGAATTTCAGACAAACTTAGTGCCATATCCTAGAATACATTTTCCTTTATGCACCTATGCACCATTCATACCAAGCAAAACTGGTATGCACGAACATCCTTCTGTATCAGAAATTACCAGCATGTGCTTTGACCCCAAAAACCAAATGGTAAAATGTGATCCAAGCATGGGTAAATATATGGCTTGTTGCCTATTATACAGGGGAGACGTAAATCCTACTGATATCAATAATAAAATACAGTCTATCAAACAACAACATACTATCCAGTTCGTTGATTGGTGTCCAACTGGGTTCAAAATTGGTATAAATTACCAGCCACCAACAACTGTACCAGGAGGCGATTTGGCACCTGCACAAAGAGCTGTCTGCATGCTTTCAAATAGCACTGCAATTAATGTTGCTTGGCATAGATTGGGACATAAGTTTGATTTAATGTTCCGCAAAAAAGCATTCATTCATCATTATATTAATGAAGGCATGGAGGAATCTGAAATGAAGGAAGCTCGGGAAAATTTGGCGGCTCTGCAATTGGATTATTTAGAAGTCGAAGATGATTTATAAAATTGATATAAAAATTATAACGTTTTAAGTACAAAAGTAACTTGTATACATTTTGAAAAATATACTGCAATTTATTCAAAATATAATTTTTACACGTTATTTATCCATAAATATACATACTTATAAATATTTTTTTTCAGGAATTCATTAAACTTTTAACATTAAAAATGCTTAACTTGGAAACAATTATTTTTTTACCAGATCTGTTAAATGCAAAAATAAAAAATTAACCTTATCATTAAGCTTTAAAAGGCGCTTTGTTATTAGCATCTCTTGGCTGGCAGTGAATCATGATCTTAATAACGTTTGCTTCAGACCGTTTTGCAAGAGCAAATGCTTCCTTGGTTTCCTCTAAGGAAAAATGATTTGTCACCATTGCTTTCAGGTTAACTTTGCCACTAGCCACCAAGTCCAGAGCAAGAGGATAACTAAATAATGAAATTTAAATTTATCAGTCAGATAAACCAGTGATAAAGTAGTAGTAGTGGTGGTAAATTATTTTTTTCGTCTCTTACTCATTGCAATAACGGAAGACTCCTCTAATGTCCACTTCTCGGGCTAATGCATCAATTAAAGGAACCTTAACTTCTGATGCTCCCATGCCAACTATTACAGCAACTCCACCAGTTTTTGTTGCCTGTAAAAATATAGTTCGTTAAAAAGTCACACTACTTTATTATATTTATACAATTTCAAAAAAAAAAATTAAGCTTGCAATCGCTTTGGCCAGCGTACCAACAAATTATTTGTTAGGATTGCAAATGAAAGATTATTAGTATTGGTCGTTGGTTATATATAAATCCATATTAATAGTTTAATTCGATTAACTCTATCATTCTCTCAAAACATGAATTATTATCCTTATATATATATATATATATATATATATATATATATATATATATATTACGGTGATTCTTAATATGCGAATTTCATTGCTCCAGGGGCTTAAATGCTTCTAAATTGATAAAAAAAATCTCTAAAAGTTTTAGCTCTTAATATTAACTTTTAGATAGTGCCCAATTCAATCAAAGCTTCGTATGGAAATAGCATAGAAAAAATTTTAAAAATGTTTTTTAGGTATAACTTAGCGACAAGCGACTTGAAAGTGACAATTTGTGTCGTCCTTTGTTGAAAATTCGACGCTCTACACACAGGTTTTTTATAATTTGTTTTGTAGAGCGTCGAGATTCTGAATATTACTCATTCATTTGTTCGCTAAGTTATATTTAAAAAACATTTTTTAAATTTTTGAAAAATTTTCCATGCTATTTCCATACAAAACTTTGATTGAATTGCGCACTATCTAAAAGACAATTAACTTAAACTTTCAGGGAATTTATTTTTATGAATTTGGATGCATTTGAGCCTCTGGGAGCAGAGAAATTCGAATATTTCCATATTAAGAACTACCCTAATATATATACTAGATCATTTTAAGAAACAACTTCGTACTCCTAGTATTAATTTTATGATTATTTACTGACAAAACCTGAAAAACTGAGACCTTGTTCTGGATGTGTTAGAGATATAAAATACTTGCCAAAATTGAAATTCTAGTAGTAAATTCATTTCCCATGCAATCCACAGCTTTGTCAGGTTTAACACCCATTATTTTATGAATTTGCTTAACCACTTCGCGTTCGTCTGCGTTTTTCTCAACGCGCAATACATGATCAGCTCCTAATTTTTTTGCGAATTCTAATCTTCCTTCAAGGATATCTATAAACAAATCAACAAAATTACTAGCAAATGTTACAACTTTTACATAACTTTTATTATCATACCTACGACCAAGACCTTAGAAGCTCCCATGGCTTTAGCTGCGGCCAAACTGACTAGACCAATTGGTCCCGAGCCTAAAATCAAAACAATGGAGCCAATTCCAACTTCGGCTCTTCTGCAAGCGTGTACGCCTACTGAAAGGGGTTCTAGAAGGGAACCTTCTTCCATGGTGACGTGGTCAGGCAATCTACAATGAAAATGGTAATATTATAGATAATGTCAAAATATCCAAACAAATTATTGGATGCGACACTGAAAGTGAATTTGAGGCTAAATTAATTAGTTGACAGTATTTGACGACTATACTCGTCATGAGCTCGATTCGGACGGCACAAAATCGAAGGCAATGTTTGATGGGACACAGTTAACTGGTTAATTGGATACTTGGTAAAGGGTACTATAAATAAAAACTTCTTACCTATGATGATAAACACTTTTAAAAATATAACTTGAACACTTGAACTTACCTATGATGATGAACACTTTTAAAAATATAATTTACTTTAAGCTATTACGCCCTTATGTA